CGGAAAGGAGATCTTTAAAAGATAACCAAAAGCAATAATAAAACGACAAATATGAGATGTATTTGTTATTAGTGAAATTATGTTGACTTCTTGTGAAAACCATAATAGCAGTTGTTGTTATAGTCAACTATAACAAGTAACAACAAAACTTAACAATGACATTAGAAACCAATAAAACTTAACAAAAATGATGTGTACTAATCGACCAGTGTTTATTTGTTGACGGTAATGATTTTTGAACGCAATTACGTCATCAAAATGGCGACGAGGCGCATTAACAATTTGCGGGGATTATATCAAAATATACAGCGAACGTATTTTTATCAAAGAAAACTTAAAACCTATTATCTTTTCTACGACTCCGATCCTTACAAAATATTTATACTTTTCTTCGAGAATGGCACGAGTGCCCTCGGACGACAAGCATTAAGCGCACGCCCCTCCCACTGGCAATATGGCCGCCAACAAACCGCTGATTGGCTCGTTGGCTCTTCATGCACGATTGATCTAACAAGTGTGCGGTACAAAACTGATCATACGAAGACAGTTTTTGTAGGTTTATTATTTTAAACGCATCTATCATATACTAATATTTATTGTTTGTGAATAAGTTAATAATATTATCACAAAAAATGTATTAGTCTTTTTTTCTGCGTTTGATGTCAAAATCAAAATTTCTTTAATGCAAATCTTCATCTTCCTGGGCTGTTCCCCAACTCTACGTTGGGTCGGCGCAATATCTCGTCTACTTCCACTCTTCTCTGTCAGCTGTCATCCATCTTTAACCCTACCTCTCTAGGCATGATTATAGCTATTTTATAACTAGATATCTTAGCGATGTTTTGTCGATGTTTCATTTTACTATGAAACATGAAATTTAATAACTGCCAACGAATGATAAAGACAAATTATTTTTGTTCCACCATTGTTTTTAATGTTATTTATCGTTCCTCAGACACAAAAACTTAGTTAGGTATCATCAACAATAGGTGTGATTGATTACCCATTGCTCTACAATTGTTAGCTAAGTATATTACCACGTGAAATTTTCGTAATATTCCTTCCTTCCTATGTATACATACCAACATTATATGACTAATAATGTAAATTAATATCTGCTTTTAAAAACGTGTTTGTGTGTATGTATTAGAATGATCATATCATTATTAAATTCCTTTTTTTGTGTAATACGCTAATAGAACAGGAAATATTAGTCAATTAACTTCATTAAAGTAATTACAATTTAAATGAATACCAATAGCCAATTCTTGTTATAATTTTTAAAATATTTGTTTTGTTGTGAAAAGGCAACGACCTTTCGCAATCAGGGCGACTGCTCGTGGGTTCGAATCCAATCTCAGAGTTATTAAGAATATTACATTAAGAATATTTTCCAGCATAGCATTGAGAATACAACATTGATTCAATATAATGGCAACTAAGTATGTTTTGAATGATATTGTTAAGAAATTAACAATTATAAAATTAATATTAAACGTGTCATCTAGAGAAGCGTTGGGTTAGTAGATGGGGGTTGAGAAGCATCCCCCAGGCTTCAGGTAAAAAGAATAAAACTAAAATAAAGTTTTAACAGTCTTTATTTTTGTTCTCAGGGGGTAGTTACATGTTCGCTTGTATGGTTCTTGTGATTTTAAATAAGAGGACTTAGCGTGCAAGGGAAATAGAGGACTTAGTTTCGAGTTCGCGGGGTCAGCGTCACGGACCGGGCAGAGGCTGGCAAGGATGTAGACCCGTCGTCAGCTCCGGTCAACAACACTGAAGATCCACGAAGACTCAGGCACAATACAGAGCAGCATAGGTCAGGAGGACTCGGGTAGAAGAACCCTGTTAATATAAATACAGCACTGAATAGAAGTTCATTAAGTGCGGCTACCTGTGGCCTGGAACAATTAAGATAGCTGCAGTTGCTATAGCTTCTATAAAAATCTACCGGCTAAAAAAAATATAAATATGTGTGTTTCAAATGATATTAAAAATCATTTAGAATGAAGTAAAAAATAAAAGATGCTATGATAATAATACTATTATATTTTATTACACGGGAATCAAATCCGTAGTTCAAATAAAATTAAAGCACTAAGTGTTCTATTTAAAATTATCTAAATTTCAAGGTTATCAAATCTTATTTAAAGCACAACCCGGGAATCGAACCTGAGATGGAAACAAAATCACGAATTCAAACTAAAATAACTTACATTCGGACAATGTATAGATTATATTTAATTTTAATTTTAGCAGAAAAAAAATTAAATATCTGTAAGGTAGAAAAATAACTAAATGTTAATATTACGTAGTCTCAGAACTCCGTTTTGTTTCAATATATTGTTTTATGAATGTTATTACCTTAAATATAGCAAAAATTCTATGTTTCCTTAAACACCTACATCACCTTTATTGCAATAAAGAATTAGAACACTCACCCGACTTCGGGTTTACTTAGCACATACGTACAAATTTTCAAAATCACTTAAAAATTAATGTATTGTTTCGAGCGAAATCATTAATATACTATTTCACCACTATAAGCCGCGCTGCGCTCCCGTGTCTGCCTACCTCCATAGTACCTACAATTGTTAACATTGTACCTACAATTATTTTTATTGATATTTTTCTTTAAATTAATTTGTATTAAATAGTATAAAGGAAATTAAGCACATCAGCTAAACATTCAAAAGTAAGACAGTTTATTTGGTAAACTGTTACACTAGGTATGCCTACAGGGTTATGGGTAATTAAACTGGATCCTTTTAAGTGGTCATAGAGGAGGTCATTTACAATTATTTTCACCTCACATTATGTATTCGAAAGTGAGCCATTTTGTGATAAAAATTGTATTTATTTTTATTATACTTTTGTTGAAAGTTTTGAAGAGATAACATTTCAAAACGTGATAAATAATAATAAAACCTAAATAATCTTGGCCCAAACAAAAACTACATAGATTTAAATAAAAAAACTAGCTTTTTGTTATTGTAAATTTGCAAACAAAAGTGCATTTAAAAATAATAACTTTCGGATATACAATGTGCGGTGAAAATAATTATAAATGACCTCCCTACGACTCCTTAAAAGGATCCGGTCTAATTACCCATAACCCTATATCCTGACAATATTTTATCATAATCTACGATACTAAGCGACACGGTCATGTTTGCGAAGACCAAATATGAACCTAATACAAAAATTTTATGTTTATTTAGCTGGTCCTCTCAGTCAATCTCAGATTCTTTATAGTTACACTAAGTGGTTTATCGATTCCCTCATAGCCGACCTTAGGAAGTGTATTCCAATCAATTCTAGTTAATAGTCTAGAACTACCCACTATCATAACCTGCGTTTTTAGTGGATTTACCTTCAGTCCAAATGCCTTAGCCCATTCAGCAATGCTGAACAAATTAGCGTTAGTAGATGACACGTTACTGGGTGATTACTATTATATTTCTATGATATGATTTAAACCTAAATTCGAATAAGTAAATTTATGGTATAAGAAAAATAAATTCTTAGATATTTTAATTCCATATAACTTCTAATAAGAAATATGTATGTATGTGTATGTAGTTCCATGTGTGTTTTACGTGTATTTGTAATTATTTATTTATATTAACTGAATAATTAATTCGATTTTATTTGGTTACTCTAATGTCCCCGTCTTCACATAAATTTTCTATGGGTCAGTCCAAAAAAATAACTATTACCGTACTAATATTTAATAACTCCATGAATTGTAAAAATAACTTTTTATATGTATGTAAATGAAATTACTTTATATCAACAAGCAAAACTCTTAACACAGCTATTCACACAAAATTAGAACACCATTTATTAGAAACTAATGTGAACCAAATGTATGTTAACATTTGAGAAATGTGTCTTTCGAATGTAATCTATGCCACTGTACAAAACTACTAATATTACTAATATTCGAGAATAACTTTATGTATAAAAATTCAGTGAGTAACAAGAGAATGTAGTTTTATATCAAATAGAAAGTGACAATAAAACATATCTAACTAAAGTAATATATGACTAGCACATCCCTTAATTGTCGGGGCTCGGGGAGGCGAATCAACATCTCGACTTGATTCTTTATACTTGTCCATTGCAAAAAAATGCTATATTTTGTTTTCATCTTACATTGTAATTATTCAAAATTTTCCAGACTTGCGCGGTAATTTTAATATGAAGAGCATTAAATTTACATGATATTTAAAGTTAATAAAGGGTGTATAAAGTTCAAATGCGGTAGATTCACAGAAAGAGTCGGCAAAAATAATAAATATATTTTCTAATATTATATAAGTACTTAGATTTGATTGTTTGTTAGTTTCCATTGAAAGAACAAAGAAACAATTTGACCGGTTTAAAAAAAAAATTCAACTAAAACAGAAAAATCCTAATGTTCATAAAAGTCACATCCGGCTCATTAGTTATTCTTTAAAAGTAAATGATGTACTTTATGCTTTAATTGCTAATACAATAATACTTGTTTCATAAATAGTCTGACAACTTTCTAATGGTAATGATCATTAAAATTTGGTATGCGGCGTCATAATGTTACATTAGTCATTACCAATCATTAATCTAATGTAACAAGTTAAACCCTTAAAAGGCACACTGTTGTGCTTACATGTCCAGTATCGTTTCGACCGCCAAAGTGCAAGGGTGTACTTACTCTTAAAAGTGATAAACTAAAATATTTAAATTTCGGTGAGTTTAATTTACATACTTTATATATAATATTTAAATCGTCTACTCATGTCATTTTACGTATAGTAAAAGTTAGTAGGTTTTAACCTGAACGATCGAAATAGACCTTTTCTAAGTTAAAATGATATTTGGAAACAGGTCAAAGTTACACATCAGTGTTAAAATAATTCAACGGAAAAGACCCACCACGTAGTATAATATCACCAAGTGTTATTATTCTTTTAAAATAATTATTTGCAGTCTTTCAACAAATGAGCCCTTTATTCAAAATGCATAACATCTCGATTAGGTGCGTTCCATTGTCCAGCGCGTGGTATTTACCCCTTCTCGACCCTTCCGTGACTGTTGACATAGATATAAATTTTAAAGCGTCTTTTTTTTCAAATCAGTACAGCTTGGACGACGTGGAAGCTGCACACTCAGTCACATTCACGTTGGTGGTGATCGTTCTGCGCATAACTACAATGAGGACCGCCGGCGTGGACGTGGCAGCGTTGAGAAAGTACAAGTGCGGCGCTTGTTCCACGGAGTTCAAGCAGTACCGGCACCTGGTATGCCACCTGTACTGGCGTCACGGGACAGAGAGCCTGCCCTGCAGCAGATGCCCAGTGCGGAGGTGGGAGTACGCACTCCACATCTGCAACGTTCTCCCGTACGACGACCTCGCGTACGGTGACGAACCTGCGGCAGATGTGGGGAGTGTCGCCTCCAGCTCTGGGCCTGTCCCGGAACAGCGGGACAGTATCTACTGTTCCTGCGGTAAGGAGGTCCCTGGTGCCCACATGATCGGGTGTGATGGTGACCACTGCACGTACCAGTGGTACCATTTCACCTGCGTGGGCATCACCGAGGCGCCAGACGGGAAATGGTTCTGTCCAACGTGTGCCGACCGGTGACGCAGGTAACTGTTTTTGAAAATCCTTCACGTTTCTTATATTTCAGTCCACCTTTTTTATGTTTTTCTTAACCGTTTCGAAAGTTGAAATGGTATAAATCACGTCTTCTGTCTAGCCGATATTTAAAAGACAAATTTATATGATTTATTTGAAGTTAGTATCAAATAAAACATATAAATTTTCTTATCCACCCGCGACTATGATATCTATTTCTGAATCGAGTTTTTGTAAGTGCATGAATAAAACATGTAATATTAATCAAACAATTTAATTCTAGAAGTATCTTTCTTTGATTTTATTGACCTCGAGACATCTTTTTCTGTTATGGTTCTCATGGTTGCTTTATTTTTTCAGATCTTCTCCGGGGGCATTCATGAGGTGAAACTCTGATGCCCGAGTCAGAACGATATAAAGTAAGAATATTGTTTTATTCACTACATGCACATAGTTTTATTCGCTTCGTACAATAAATTGTCGAGTAAATATAGAAAAGATTAAAGATTTATTTATTCATAGGTAAGTTTGTAATGTTGTGTTTTTGTTTCAGGATAGTTGGAAGATGGTAGGAATGAGCCCAGATAGTGTTGACCTGTGGACCAACCCGTGGCCCGTGGCCCCTAGTGGGAAGGAGGCGGCGCACGCTAACATAACGTTACATATTTCTTTTAAAACTTATTTTGTTAGGTTAGTTTTTTTTTTCAATTCTTTACTTTAATTATTATATTAATCTAGTAAGTTCTTATTTTTCTTTAAATTTCTTTGTATAGTCTTGTAGTTAGTAAGTATTTTTTTAATCTGCTTTTTCTATTTCTTGTATTCGTTAGTAAGATTTTATTTTTTTCAATTCATCTTGTATAGTCTTGTATTTAGTTAATAGTGTTTTTATTTCTCTTTTTATATTCTTGTAATAAGTTGAGTTTTTCATTCTCTCTTAAAATTGTAGTGATTAGTCGCTATTTTTTAAAACTTTAACATAATCTAGCGAGACAATTTTCTGTGTAACGACTATGTATGGAACATAAGAGGGAGAAAAAAGCAGCTCTTGCTGAGTTTCTTGCCGGTTCTTCTCAGTGCAAGGTCTCCCGCCGTAGACTTCCGAACCGATGGCGTAGCTTGTCGACATTCACGATTACTTGTTAATAATCGTGAATGTCACTAATTTTATAAAAATTGCTCTCGACAAATAAACATTCACCAATTATTCCTTTTTTTTCGATTAAATAAAGTTACTTTCAAAATCTGAAATTAGTAAACAAATTTTCTATGATCTAATGTAAGGACTAGACAAACCTAGATCATTTTTAGATTTTCATGGCCGAGGGCGCACTCTCTGCACTCTCTGAATAGTTTTTGTTCTTTTTGTTGTTGTATCTTTTAATTTGTTTCTTGTGTAACGCGTTCTTGGTTAGTTTTGTAACAACGAATTGAACAAACGTGCATCCAAATAGTTATTTAATTTGTTTCATTTTATCTGAAAACATCTGCAGACGGTTGTATTCATTAATCTGCAGGTGTGCAGGTACTCGTGTGTTATACACAAGTTGCGTGCAACATATATATTTTTTTGTCTATGTATTTAAATTTGATTTAATAAACTTCAATATCAAATGCTCATTATATTCAAAGTTGTTCTCTAAACTAATGTCTATACATACGATTCTATAAAGTGTATTACAATACACATTCAATAAACAAATATTTATATTACAACGTATAACACTACGTAATAACCCAACAACAATAACCCACCAGGTGGTGGGTGCATATTTTTTATTTAGTTGGACCGGAATGTTCCCCACACTCTGGTCTATCCACATAAATATTATGACCTCTCTGTTAAAATTACATGGTTACATAACTTGATGATTTTGTTATTTCAAAAACGATAAAATAAATATTTGTTCATTATATCGTGTAAAATAACTGATACTTAAACAATGGCGAACTTAGATTCCCTATTACAATCCTTTTATCACAATATAAAGTAACTTATATCCTATATCAACTCCATTTAGTGGTTTAGGTGTGAGAGCGGCTTAACGTCCCATTCTTAAACTCAAGCTCAAGATAATATTATTTTGGTCACCCATCCCGTGTCTGACCCTTGCGACATTTACTTAACAGCAACAATCGTGGCCCACGGCGCTAGCGCTTGGAGAACCCCGAACTCACATGCGCGCAATGTCATTGTAGTATTTGTTCTTTCTTTGCTATTTAAGTGTCCAAATACAGTTTCGCAATTTATCTTTAACATTGACGAACTTCCATAGAAATATTCATCCTCTCTTTTAACCCTTTTCTTTCTCATGGTCAACTCTATCTCTGTACCAAATTCCATTAAAATTCATTCAGTGGTTTCGACGTGAAAGTGAAACAAACAGAGTTATTCTCTCATTTATAATATTAGTAGGGGTCTGGAATCATTACGCTATCGATAGAATACAACATGATTATAGCCGTTACTTTTCAAATGAAAAAAAAATCTAATCTTAGCAAGGGTACCTATATAGGTGTATTCTAGTGAAATATTAATTGAATGTTGCTAGCAGAGAATAGCAACTACGTAGCAATTTGGCCATCTGGGTCGAATATGGCCACGTTAAGGTTTGTAGTCCTTTTTTAATAATAATAAAGCTAAAACAAATTAGTTTTAGCACACATTCATAAAGAGTGGCTATTTATCTTTACAATAAAGGCAAAAAAATACAAAGACTTGAAACCACAAAAAGTAATTTCAACATTTTTTAAAAATTTAGAATTTGGCCATATTTCCTATGGGGTAGGTAAATATGCCCTGTATGTGGCCATATTTACTGTATCAATTTACATATTTAAAAATCTTCTAAATAATATCAAATAAAAAAATATTATGTATCTTTGGGCAATATGTACAAATAAAGAAACAAGAAATTGAAAATCAACAATCAACAATGAGATACAAAATTTTTTTCTTAAACGCAATTACGTAGGACACGTTGTGTTAATGGGTATCCTACGTTGCACAGACGAATAACTCGGGATGATAAAATTTTCTCTTGATCAGGGTTAAGAAGTAGTGTTTGTTTCTTTTTTCTATGGTAAATAACGCCTTAAAGTACACTTTGGCACATTATAATGATTTGCAGCCGTATTTTCTTTCATCTTAGCGCTTTTGACTGCAGTTAAAGTTTGTTTTATTAATGCTTCTGATCAATTACCTCGAATCCCTTTTGCTATATAGCGCGGCATAGTCTAAAACAAAAATTTGTTAGTATTTTTTTTCTTATAGTTTTAGTACCGGAAATATGGCCAAACACTGGCCATATTTGCCGTCACGCATGTTTACGTTTTCATATTTATGAATGAAAAACCCACTATTATTTTGATAATTAAACAAAGAAATATCAAATTACAATCGTCACACAACATCGTAATATGATTTACAAATATTCTTATTCGAAGAATAATAAAATACAGAACAATACTTACTTAATTTTTTTATAACCTGTACAGTTGTTTTGCTTTAACCGACACTGGACGACCAGCAGGGCGCGGGAAGGGTTAACAGGTACTCCGTTCGGATACATGCGACACTAGCGACAATTTATGGTCGCGTTTAGGTTATTAAAATATTTAGTGTTTGTAATAATGGTATGTGGCTATATTTTTCGGCTGGCCATATTCGACCCAGGTACCTTACCACGTGCGCGTTAGGGTGTCCCGTCCATGTATGGGAAAAAGTAATTTCTGGATACGGTTACGCAACAGGTATTAAAATTTGAGTGTTGATACATGTATTACGATTATTTTACAATTTTATTAGATATTTGTCATCTTGTGGCCTCTACCGGTCCTTGAAGTATTTCAGATTTTCCTTTTTAAGTTGTTCTTAACATAAACAATAAATCAATCAAAAATGAAGTTTAAATCGTTTTTATTAATTATTATGGTTACAATAATGAGTCAAATCAAGGTTTAAAATAGTTGAAAGACAACTAACGAGTGGCTATTTTAAAAACTTAACTGGGTTCTTTTACGAAAATTGGGCATTTCCGCACGATTTATTAATCTGTTCCTAATGAAACCATCCCGAGCCGTAGCATCAATGACTCTTTGAGAAGCCTCCGTCACAACTTTCACACATCTTTCCACTGCCTGTGTGTGACAGGGGAAGTCAACGATGTCGAGGCTGTGTTCTTTAGGCTTCATTCTAAGGTGATTCATTGTTGGAGATGTGTAGGAAAATTGATCTCACACTCTTGCCAAAATATTATATTAATGTTATCTTTTCACAGAACTTAAGCTTTGGAGTTTAAAATACCCTGCGAGAGTTATTCTTTTCTTCTTCTCTGGCCTTTAATATTTAACAAGATGCAAGTTCTCGAATATGATCTCTATAACATATCAATAAGCTGGGTGCGTAAAAAAAGCGTTTCTTTCGATCACTGAATTTATAATAGATCTCTGACTATCAGGCAGCATCGAGAGTGTACAATCATTTGAAAAATATACTTGACTCCATCTTTAAAGGATGAGTTTTGTTTGATGAGGAACCAAACAGGGGCGTGAACTTTAACCACGTAGTTCACAAGCTGCTGTTTTTACAGTACTTACATAAAATCTAAGTATGCGATTTGCAGTAATGCGCCATCTTCCTAGGTTGGCGGTGCACTAGCTCCGGGGAACAAGCACTAGTCATCACAGCATCACATTTCGTAGAGATACTTTTGATCCGTACTTAGTTCCTTCATAACATTATCAGATAATTCGGGCACATTGCAGCTACTGTATAAAAAGACATTAGAGATTTTTTTTCACAAACAACTAGCTGTCTTCAATTGGTCCTAAATATTCTTTGGGCCTAAATGTGTTACTATCCTATGCGTTCCTAAATAATTTCTCAACAAAATATCTTCACGTGGGTAATGAGGATATGATGAATTCGTCGTTTTTAAGAATCCAATACAAGTTTCGTTTGTGATATAAATATGTCGTCTAAGTATTGTCCTTAGTTGACAAAATACTTCAAGTTATTTTCATTATCATCATCATCACCAGCCCTTTTACGTCCCCACTGCAGGGGCTCAGGCCTTCCTTATGGATGGTTAAGGAGGATGGGCCATGACCCTCCACGCTGGCCCAATGCGGATTGGAGGGTATTAACGACTGCAAATGCAGCCGGGACCAACGGCTTAACGTGCCTTCCGAAGCACAGAGTAGCTCGAGATAATAATTTTTTGGTCACCCATCCCGTGACCCTTGCGAAAGTTGCTTAACGAAAACGAGCGCGGGCCGCGGAGCTTATCTACTACGCCACCGAGCCACAGTGTATATAAGTAGACAGTGGTGAAACTGCCTATAAGCGTTCGAAATCGCACGCACACATAAACACGCTCACCGACGAGCCGCCTAAGTGGACCTAACAGGACGCTCAGTAACGCGTATCGCGACGAGACGAATGGTCACATTACACGTTCGGCGATCATTTTTATTTAAAAAATTAAGGAAAGGAGTAGGCTTATGTGAAATAAAAAAATAAGTTATTTTTAAGATTTTTTTTTAATACCCGTTTCAGTGTCATGCATATTTTCGGGTTGAAACGTAGTACGGTCCCACCCGAAAATGCTTGATAAACACCCAAAAACAGCCGCTGATGAGCGCGCCACCTAAATACAGTGCCTACCTACCACGCGTCCGATTCGAAGAGCGCACGAAACGTCCAACCCCGGCTATGTTTCCGTCAAAGCTTGTACAAGGTTATACCGTAATATCAAGTTAAAGATCTACATAAAAACCAAGCTTTACAAGTTGTGTGTCAATATCAAACTATTTATCGTATGTTAAACTATCGTCTCTTGCTGAGATTAACCGATTTTTAACCGACTTCAAAAAAATAAGGTTATCAATTCGACCTGTACGTATGTAATATTTCCAGAACTGCCCAGTTTTCAGATATGTTATTCTATACCACCACAGTGTATATATAAGTAGATATCACCGTCTGAACAAATGTGCCAAGTATCAAAAATGTATGTATGTATGTTTTTTGTTTGTTAATTATTTATTACAATTCGATTGATTAATAATGTCAGAACTCCTTTTATATTTTGTAAAAGAAAAAATTTCTAAAACATTAAAAATGACAACCCTATGGTTTCATTGGATCGTAGGTATTTATTTTATCAAATAGGCTTAGTTTCTATACTGTGTTATACTTATACTGTGACCGAGCTACTCTTTTACAATATTATAAACTCTTTAAGTTATTTTACAATTTTATAAACTCTTACTACTGTGAACCGAATAAACAGGTAGGTACAGAATAGGCCACCAATATGGCCGCCAATGGAGGAAAGTCGTGAGTATTTGTCAGTTGACGTCAGACAGAACGCATTCTCTCGGCGGCCACAGTGTATGTATTTTACCTATTGGCTATGTGCACTAGTTCAGCGACATCTAGCGCACGTAACTTTGGGAGATTTGAAATTAATCATATTATTTTTACACGAATTTATATAAAAATTAAAAACTATCTTTTTATTTATGTTATAAAATTACTGTATTATTATGATTTATAGAATAATTTTTAAGTCATTCAAACTAGATAAGGGTAAGAAAAAATTATTTAAAAAATGTTTTGTCGTGATTATGTCAGAGTTTGCTTAATTTTAGTTGCAATTTTACTGTAAAACTCTACATTAAAGCGTCTTTGAAGGTTTCGTTAAATAATTGTAAACGTAGACAACTTTCTTGTAATGTCAGTGATCAATGAAATATGGATTATGGAGTGTTTTTCTGAGGACCGGGTTTGTGTGTATCACTATACCAAATTTCAAATACAAATAAAAAAACATAAATAATTCTGATAGTCAACAAAGTCGCTTATTGAACTCACGAAACTTCAATTCAGATTTGAAGGTCATGTTTTAACAGCCCAAATTCTAATAATATTATTCTTTTGCCCCTGGCACTCAGAGATGGCACAAAGTGGATTTTTTAAGCTTTTTTTTAAGCTTTTTTTTAAGATTTTTTTCAGTATAACATTGTGACTAATGAATCGTTTAGAATTTGTTAACCACCTTCACAATTTTTGGAAATTTCGATTAATCCCAAAGGAATATATTGATAACAATAGTTGTGCCCGCGACTTCGTCTGCTTGGGAGAGTATATTAGTAGAATTCCTTCTTTCCTATGGATGGAGTCGAACCGAATAGGATCAATGGGCATTAACCCACTGCGCGGGCTTAATGCGGATTGGTGGGTATTATAGGCACTCGTTTACAAAATGGAGTTGGTAGAAATCACAAATTCAATACTTATCCTTATTTGTCTACTCTAGCTAATCTGCTACAAGCGAACGTGTATTCTCTGTAGCTGGCCTTACTAAAACGGCTAAACGCTTGCGTCTGGGAAACTGGGAATGATATCAATAAAATAATTTCTATACATGATAAATATTAGGTTAGGAAAAAAGTCTTTTCGCAATTAGATGCATAAAGTTGTAATAAAATCTTTCTGGTTATACCATTTCTATGTGGCTGGTTTCGATATCATAAAATATTTAAATTTTAAAGAAGATAACTCCGAATTCAAAATAGGAAAAGGTGTGATTTTCATTTGTTTTTCTTACTGTCAAAATGAGTGAATCTAATGAAGAACATTAATACATTTTAAAATTTTAGTATAATAAGGTAGAAATGCAACGTAAGCAGCGAAAAAAATTTGTAACGTTTATGAACCTTGTGCAGTTTCTGTGAGAGTAGCACAAATTTGGTTTAAGCGTTTTCAGTCCGGAAATTTTGATGTCAAAGATGCACGTCCCCCCGGGTGCCCTGTTACGGATTTAATAGACACCATATTTGAAAAAATAGAGCAAGATTGGCATATCAGTAGTTACGGCGTATCTGAGCTCACTGAAAGAAACCTAATGAACCGTGTACTCTTTTGTGACAGAGGGTGGCAAAACCTGGGCTAACTGGCACAAAGGTGATGCTGTTTGTATAGTGGGATTGGAAGGGCATTATTCATTATGAGCTGTAACCAGGACCATCGATTCTGAACTCTACCGGGAACAACTGATGAAATTAAGGCAAGAAGTTGAGAAGAAAGCCAGAATTAATGAATAAAGGACAGAATTAAACAATAGAAGGGGATGGTTTTCCATTAAATTAAGAGTTTGGCTGGGAGGTGTTGATGTATCCGCTGTATAGTCCTGCAACCTCACAAAATATCATGTTTCTACGTACAAGATGGCAAAAAGTTATCGAACAAAATAATACCTAGACATTTTAGTTAAATGTAAGTAATCTATATTAAAAATGTTTAAAATTATATTCTTAATAGAAATTTCTTTAAGAAAACCAGTCTAAACACATTTAAGACAGACAGAGACCATACAACAACAGTCTATTGTCCTCTCTTATATACACATCTCTGTTTATGTCCGCATTGTCTCCCTTAGACGATGAGTTCAATTATTGTTTCATTTCTCCTTGACGCAGTTACAAAAGCTCATCATCAACAATACAAGTGTTTGAGATTTCCGCTCTGCAATTGTTTACTAGTCTTATTACCACGTGGGGTTTGTGTACGTAAATTGACTCGTTATAAAGCATTTTTTATATAAACCAATATTATTTGACTTAAACGAATTCACCTACTTCATAGACATGTATATCTACTGGATAAAAATAATTAAATATAAAATTTAAATTTCGTAATTATAACTTAAAATATCCAATTAGCGTTTACACTTATGAAACGATTAATTTAATTGTTATGAGCAACTCATTTACATTTTTATTGTATGGAGTACAATAAAAACAGGATTTAAAAAAAATGAACTTGTTTAGGATCATGATCAAACTTTAGCTCGTAACTGGATCGAATGTATGATTCCTAAATAACAACGTGTTTTAAAACCACCACATTATTATTTTAATTTTTATCGATTTTGAAGTTTTTGAGATATGAATTATTGTACATTTCCTATAATTCACTATTGGTCATGTAATAAGATGGTGCGCGTAAACAACACGTGCGAGTCACTCCCGCCCTGCACTTTATAATAGTCCTGAATCATTACTGGAAAAAGTACTATTACTTTTATTTTTCACAATAAAAGTCTTACGATAAAATTTATCATAATTCAAAATAACTATGATATTAAGGTTTTTGAACAAAAACTAGATTTTTTCAGGGCTTAGCAACAATGAAAATGTAATATTGTCATCTTCCGGATTTTTGACATAAATTTGTCTATAAACAAACATTTGATAATTCATTTCATACCTATAGATTTTTGTGTACAATTTTTGTAGTTGAATATTCGTTTATTATTTTGCTGATGGCAACGTTAATTATATAATGCTATCATTAAGTAATTTCCAAATGTTTAAGGATAATTTCCATTATTTTTTTAGTCATTATAAACAAGTATACTTAAAGCACACCTAGGTGGTCCCCGTAAATAACACGTGCGAGTCACTCCCACCCTGCACTGTCATAATAGTCCTGAAGTAGCATAAAAGCGTCGGCTCCTCCAGCAGACCGCCATTAGTTCAGCGCCCGCGCGTGCCTTAACACGTATCGTCGGCTCTCACACCGCGCCCGCTCTCACGGCTCTTTGTGTATACCAGACAGACAAGAAAAATGTATTCTTGTATTCAGCTTCACGACCCCGCGATCATTGCACTACGACAGCAACCGCCTTCATCACCACCGTCGCCGCCGCCGGCCCCCCGGATTCCGCTAGGCGAATTAGAACATCGTCTTCAGAAATACATATTAACTAAAGATACCATGTGGAGTCGTGGTTATCCTGTGGAAATAGAGAGGAATTCTACCGAAGCAATAATGTATGTGAATCCGTCGCCACGGCATAAACCTCGGCCGGCGACATCGCGGAAAATGAACTATGAAACGGATACAGTGGAACAAGTGTGTGCGCGTTGTTATAAGAAATTCAAAATGACGCTTGACGGGGACTTTCTTCAAGAAGAGTGCTTCCATCACTGGGGTCGAGTGTCGGGAAAGAAATTTGAATGTTGTAATAAACATGTGGGGGCGATTGGCTGCACTGTATCACGTTGTCACGTATGGAGTGGCACACGACCCGGGATTAACGGGCCTCTCAAGGGATACGTGCGTGCACGTCATCGCCGTGGTGGAATCTATGCAGTGGATGCAGAGATGTGTTACACGGCGGCCGGCTTCGAATTGGCCTCGATAGCCTTTATTGCAGTCGACGGCCGCATTGTTTACCAACAGTATGTGAAGCCGACCTCGCCTGTCGTGGATTATAACACACGTTTCTCCGGCATTCGACCTCGCGACCTACAGACAGCTAAGAAGACACTTAGAGACGTACAGAATGACATACTTGGATTTGTCGGCACAGACACGATTTTGATTGGTCACGCGTTAGAGAACGATCTCAGGGCGCTAAAGTTACTTCACAACGCTGTGGTGGACACGAGCGATTTGTATCCGCACGCAAAAGGATTTCCTTTGCGTCGGTCTCTGCGTTCTTTATCAGAGGAAATGCTCGGACGTCCAGTTAAGGATCGAAGAAGTGGAGGCCACTCGCCCGTGGAGGACGCTCGTACCGCTTTAGAATTAGTGCTTCTGATGGTGTACCGAGACCGAGAAACTGCCACACAATTAGGATCGCACGCTTCCACTCTGCTCAGACAGAGGACGTTTGTGCCGCTTATTTTTTATCCTAGTTATAAGTCCAAGATTTTTCATTTGATGAAATTCAGTTGACATTATTTGTTATTGTTAGATTAAATTTTTTTTACATAAAACTGTATTATCATTTACTCTTCCACCCGCCATGAAGTAATATAGATTATGTGCTGAATTGCTGAAAGCTCCCAAAGTTGCGTACGTTAGATGTCGCTGAACTAGTGCACATAGCCAATAGGTAAAATACATACACTGTGGCCGCCGAGAGAATGCGTTCTGTCTGACGTCTACTGTCAAATACTCACGACTTTCCTCCATTGGCGGCCATATTGTTTGCCAATGAATAAAATAAAATAAAGTCATATTATAAATAAACAGCAGAACAATTTAGTAGTTACCATATTTTTTCAATTTTTATTAAAGTTACGAGCTTAGATTTCCTTTGTTTTAGCTACTGTTATTATACCGCTCTGACTGAATCGTATCCAGTTATAATAAGGTAGAATTTAGCTTTATTCTACTTGTGTTGTTTGAGAGAATGTCAGTAAATTGTATTGATGTGGGAACATTAAAACTTCTATTTTATTATATATACTTATCTTAATTCTAGATTGAGTGCTGTGAATCAGTGAACAAATTTTCTTTGATCTAATGTAAGAACCAGCCAAACCTAGATCACATTTTTCATGGCCGAGGGCGCACTCTCTGTATTCTCGGAGTATTTTTTGTTCCTTTTGTTGTTGAATCTTTTAAAGTAGATATTTGTTTGTCTTATACTTTCCCATACTGACTGTTTTAACCGTATCTTGCAATCTATAGAGGTTGCAACATACACATACATGATAAACACACACATACATTAATAAACATCCTCTAAAAATATGCTCTTAACTCGATGAGCTATGTCAATCTGCGTGGGAGGTCTTATCACCAAAAATTTATGGTTCAACAAATTGGATTCTAATGGGTTTGAACTGAACATATTTTAACAAACTATTTTTATTGTGATCTATTGTTTGATAACTCACTGGGTGGTCTTTTATTTCAATCTTTACATAATAGGTATACATATTATATAATAATTCAAGCAATAAAACACAATACAATAGAAAAATTATCATGGTAACCGCTCGAACCCGTCCAACTACAGGCAGACCGCTATAACCTCTTTGCTTTCAAAGATAATGGAGTCCATTATCAACCGCCAGCTTCTTCGGTACCTAGAGAATCGCCAGTTGCTTAGTGACCATCAACACGGATTTCGTAGTGGTCGCTCTGCTGGCGATCTTCTAGTTTACTTGACACATAACTGGGCTAAGGCAATTGAAACAAAGAGGGAGGCCCTGGCAGTAAGTTTGGACATAGAGAAAGCCTTCGATCGGGTGTGGCACAAAGCTCTTCTATCAAAACTTCCCTCGTATGGGCTTCCCGAGAAATTATGTCCATGGGTCACTAGTTTTTTGGCAGACAGAAGCATCAAGGTTTTAATCGACGGTGAATGCTCGGACCTACTGTCTATAAATGCTAGTGTTCACCAAGGATGTGTGCTATCATCTACACTTTTCTTCTGCATATTAATGACATGCTGCAAATTAGCGGTATTCATTGTTATGCGGATGACTGCGAATGACTCCACCACCTCAGTCATCAACGGTCGTTCTAATATTTTTTTTTTCTCTTTATTTGTTGGGAAAGCATCATTGAGAGCCGGAATCAACTTGTGTCTGATATTGAATCTTCGTTAGAGGAAGTCTCTAACTGGGGTCGACTTAATTTGGTCCCCTTCAACCCTACTAAGACACAGGTTTGCGCGTTCACCGCTAAAAAAGCCCCTTTTGTCGTATCACCTCGCTTTCAAAACATTCCCCTAACTGCCTCAGCCAATATTGAGATTCTCGGTGCCGACATATCGAGCGAGGTCCAGTTCCGTGGTCACTTAGAGGATAAGGCTAAATTAGCATCAAAGAAGCTTGGCGTGCTTAATAGATCGAAGCAGTATTTCACTCCGGCGCATCGCCTGCAGCTTTACAAGGTGCAGGTTCGGCCCTATATGGAATACTGTTCTCATCTTTGGGCAGGGGCACCCCAATACCAGCTTCTCCCTCTAGACCGCATTCAGCGGAGAGCGACACTTCAAGTCGGCTTGATCTACTAGCCTAGCTTGCTTCACTGTGCATCTTCTATCGCATTTACTACGGGGAATGCTCCGAAGAATTGTTCGGACTCATACCTGCCGCCACTTTCCGCCATCGTTCCACGCGACATGAAATCCACGCCCATCATCTGGATGATTGGAAGTCCTCAACTGTGCGTTTTTCTAGTTTTCTGACCTTCAAACTTACAAGCGTAGAGTATATTCGTCCCTCAAAGGCCGGCAGCGCGCTTGTAGCTCCTCTGGTGTTGAAGGTGTCCATGGGCGGCGGTATTCACTCACCATCAGGTGATCCGTCTGCTCGTTTGGTCTCTATTCCATAAAAAAAGAAGAACTTAAATAAAAAATGCTAAAGATCTTGAAGCTATAAATATTAAAATTTATGTAAAAGAATATTTGAAATTCGCTTGAGTGAACTTTTCAAAGTCAGGAATTTTTGCATTATATATTTAATTTTTAGTTGTGCGTATTTAGTCCTATAATTGTTTAGTTAATAGTACCTAAAACGTTTCAAACTAATTTCTCATCAAAATATTTTCACGTGGGTAATTAGGATACAATGACGACGGCGTTTTTTAAGAATTCAATAGAAATTTCGTTTGTGATATGAATATGTCGTCTAAGTATTGTCCTTATTTGACAGAATGCATCAAGTTATTTTATAATATAAAATAACAAAACCGCTAATCCGCTTTCGGATTCACAAGGAACCACTGCGAGCCCATAAACTGTTTACCAAAAGGGATTTTGAAGATAGTTTTACAATATGTGGGTATACTCGCCGAACATAGAATCACCTCCTTTTGCATTTTGAAGCTGGTTAAAATTGGAATTTCTTAATTTCTAAATAAGGAGCTTCGTCTCCTAATCACCTTAACATAATGAATGACATGAGAAATTACTTTGGAATTTATGACTATCAATTAAAATATAATTGAAGGAACATAATCTCTGTTAGTGTATTTACTGTACATAAATTTTTTCAAGAACAAGTTCAAGTATTTCCATTATTATGTAGATTAGAGAATATAGTCGTATATTAATGAATGCATTTGTAAAGAAATATTAAGCTGCTAGTCCAACCTGTCACGGTTTGCATTGATTTTCTTCAAAAATTACTTCGTTGGCGAACAAACATTTAAAAATTATACCAAGAAATGACTTTTATTTAATGTTCATTAAATTCTTAAGCCGGTTATTTAAATGACATTAGTTAGATTTTTAATCTCATGTATGTATTGTGCTTAAAGCAATATAATTATGATATTATAATCGTTTTACTAAATACACATTGTTGTTTATAATAAATAAATATACAATAATATATGGTTGAAATTTCAAAGACATAATTAACGATGGATAGTCTGTTACCTTCGTTTGATGAACTTTGTACCACAGTTTCAGGAGATCAAACATGCACGAAGAGCCAATCAGCTGTCTTGGCGGCCATATTGACAATAAGGCGGAGGAGCTGCATTGTTCGCCTATGACTCATTCACTCATAGGGCGGAGTATGCACTCTAAGTCCATTATGTACGCACTCCAAGCACCAAGGCCACTCTTAAATATTTTATAAGAATTACATTTAAAGTGAAGTGTCTTTTTAAAACTAAATATATATTTGATGTAATTATATAATTTTCTTTTCAAAAACTTTAATTTGATTTTTAACATGGAAACACTATTATAATAACTAACTATATAATATAATCAGCCAAGTTTTGCGGGTAAACGCAAGGCTTGTGAATCGTAACTAAACTAAACTAACTTTTACCCGACTACGCGACGAAAAGGAGGGTAATGTGTTTATCAGTCTATGTATGTCTCTTTGTTCTATGTGGCGTTCTAGAGACCAAATGCGGTTCTAGGCCGATTTTGATGATTCTTACGTCAATCGATTCGTCATAACCTTGCGAGTGTTACTAAAGACGTGACAGTAATCAAAATTCACCACAGCGACAACCAGACGCCATATTGACAAAATTTTAAAAAAAACGATGAACTATGGCAAGTGGGGTGTCGTTGAATAGGTATTTTAAAATCATCTTTAGGTTCCTTTTATCATTTTTCATTTTAAATAATAGTTAAGGATATATAACGATTTAAAATTGTTTACCAAACGATATTAACTCCCTCAATGATATGACTAGATTGCGAAATTTATAAAACGAAGTTCAAATTTTACCAATCAAATCTTCCCAAGGGACTGTGAGTCGTTCTGTTCTGCATTAGAATTTATGATTTGTTTTATGTGTGTATCGATTATAAAACTAATTCAGTTGTGTAGTTATTTAATATTACTTAACAGAATACTAAGCTACTGGTCTTTTTTCTTTCTTTTTAGTTTTATTTAAGTTAAATTATTGATGTATTTTTTAAATTCGTTTTTACGCAGTCGGGTTTACTGTTTTTCTTTATTAAGAAGGTTTATTTTCTAGAGGATAAACTTAATTTTTTTATGAATTTTAACGAAATCTCTCTTACTACAGTGAACCGGAGAAACAGGTAGGTATAGAATAGGCAAACAATATGGCCGCCAATGGAGGAAATTCGTGAGTATTTGTCAGTTGACGTCAGACAGAACGCATTGTCTCGGCGGCCACAGTGTATGTATTTTACCTAATGACTATGTGCACTAGTTCAGCGACATCTAGCGTACGTAACTTTGAAATTAATCATGATATTTTTACACCAATCTATATTAAGATCTATCTTACAATGTATGTTATGAAATTACTGTAATATTATGGTTTATAAAATCAGTTATAAATCGTTTGAACAAAATAAGGGAAATTTTTTTTTTTTTTAATTAATGTTTGATTATGTCAGAGTTTGCTTAATTTTAGTTGCAATTTTACTGCAAAATATTAAAACATTAAAGCGTCTTTAACGGTTCCATTAGATGATTGAAAACATATACAGCTTTCCTGTTACTAATAATGAGTGTTTTTCTGAGGACCGGGTTTGTGTACATAATTCTGAAAGTCGACAAAGTCGGTTATCGAACTCACGAAACTTCATTTCAGTCCCTGGCACTCTGAGATGGGACAAAGTGGATTTTTAAACCATTTTTCATAACGAATATTTTTCAGTGTGACATTGTGAATGCAAAACGGATGAAATATAATAATCTAATGATTTTTTTAGAATTTCAATTTATCTCAAAGGAAAATATTGATAACACTAGCTGTACCTGTGACTTCGTCTGCTCGGAAGAGTAGAATATTAGTAGAATTAGTAGAACTTTCTTTCCTATGGATGGAGTCGAACCGAATAGTATCAATGGACCTTAACCCTCTGCGCGGGCTGAATGCGGATTGGTGTGTGTTATAGACTACTAATGCAGCCAGGATCAACAGCAGAACGTGAATTACGAAGCTCGGAGGAGCTCAAGATAGTAATCTTTTGGTCACCCATCCTATAAATGTAATTTTTTATCCTTTTCTTCTCGCTTCTCGCGATCTAATACGCTGTTTGTACAGTTGTTCTTTCGTTTTTCATATTTTAAAGTTGTTATTTATGTAGTTGTATTCACAATAGCATAAATAAAATTTATTGTGGTGTTTTCCATACAATGCTCGGTTGCCTGGAATAAATCGCTGGCTAGCGAAAAGTTCGGCGTTTGTACGTAGTTATGTAGAATATTTATGTATGTCCATGTCATTTTCTTGTTGTGCAATAAAGAGTATTTACTTACTTATTTAACCGAATCGTAAACCGAATGCACTAACCCACTACACCATTTGTACATTTTCTACAAAGCTGGTGACGTAGCGAGCCCCCACACCTCAACTTTACCGCCTATTATCTAGACCATTTCTTGTTCAATTGAAGTAAAAAAATACGTCTTCTATTTTCTCATTATCTGATTGACTGACTAACTAGAATTTCTTTTATTTTCCCAGGCATCATCCCTATTAATTTTAGATAACCTCCTGTCGGAAGTAACCGCTAAGACGTGAACTTAACTTTTTTAACGTCGAGGAAATGCTACTGGTACTGTCCCTGTTACCTGGCAAGCAACAGAGGGTGAGTAGGACTCTGACGTGAGCTACCCAGTGGGTCCCCGGTGGCCTGCCCACAGAAACCCCTACGTGGGTGCACCGTCTCGTGGTTGATGAGGCCCGGGAAGCCATGCCGAATCACCAAGACACTCGGTTATTCGACTATTGGTCTCCTCGCGGATGTGGAATTGGAGAGGCTCGGATAGGTACAGCGAGAGCTTCTCCCAGACAGGTGGCTGCCAGTGAACTACTCGGTGGCTAATTGCAGCACCGGTACGCCTTTTTCGCTTGATTTCCTACTCGTGATCATTTACCAAGAGTCCATTATAAGCTGAACCCTATTTAATAAGATCAGTCATATATACTTAAGGTCATCTTATGTTGTAGTTCCAAAATTATGGTATCTTATTTTTTTATTTATCAAAACAAATTATCATTAGACAATAACAATATAATATAACTAATATCAATCTTTAAATTTGTGAACCGATTGAAATAAATCTTACATTGAATGTTATCGAAAGGTTACCACAATATAATATTAAAAAGTGCATTTAAATTGGTTCAACCTTTTATGAGCAAACTCATAGACAAATCGACTAAGAGATAAAAATAAAATGAATGTTGGTTTGTGTTCTATTACGTTTATATATGCTCCTGATAAAAAAAAATTATATCTTAAATATACAGATATCGATCATTTATGTTTTTACTACAGTATAGATAATAAATATATTTTGAAAGAATTCATTTATTACCTTATCAATAAATATTTTCGTTACATACGGGAAATACGATGAAAATCTGGCATTAAATGTTAAGTTCATGGCTTGCCCATAAATGTTAACCCCTGGCGTAAAGGCTTTTTCTGAAGGTCATAACGACTAAGGAGTCTCGACAGTCAATATAGAGAGAATTGCTAAAATGCGAACTTTGGCATGTCATACTACAGACACCTCGTTTACCAAACTATTTTGATTGAAAGTTTACAACCATTACGCTACAAATTACGAGTAACGCTACGACCCGCTACAAACTATTACGAGTGCTTAGTGGGTGACGCTACGTGCGGCTACGATCATGCTACGACCGCTCTCAGCCACCAACCTAAGAGTGTTCTTCTTCTTCTATGATGATTGTTGGGGATGATGTGTATACATATGACTATATTGACGTCGAAGGTCACGCTGGAATATGTCGCAGAGACAAGATTCTACAGGCTTTTATGGAAATAAACGTTTTCAATTCAAGATGTGTGTAATGTAGAATGTAGAAGAAGGGTAGAGGAAGACGGAAGTTGTCGATGTTAGGCACCAGCCGTAATACCTCATCTGTGTAACGGCAACCGTTAATGGAACGAACGCACCTTTGGTTTAAGTTCTTCACCAGCATATTGTCGCTAAGGTATAATGAGTCTGTAAAATTAAAAAATGCAACTTAGCCAATGTTCAATTATTAACATTTATGATCACTATACAATGAGGTTATCACAGTATATATGAATTCAGTGTACTTCATATTTGAAGTACTTACATTATCTAAGTACTTAAGATCTGAGCAACATATTCATCATCACATCATCACCAGCCCTTTTACGTCCCCACTGCAGGGGCTCAGGCCTTCTTTATGAATGGTTAAGGAGGATGGGTCATGACCCTCCACGCTGGCCCAATGCGGATTGGAGGGTATTAACGACTGCAAAATGCAGCCGGGACCAACGGCTTAACGTGCCTTCGGAAGCACGAAGTAGCTCGAGATAGTAATTTTTTGGTCACCCATCCCGTGACCGACCCTTGCGAAAGTTGCTTAACGACAACGACCGCGGGCCGCGGCGCTTAACCACTACGCCACCGAGCTACTTATTACAATTATATTATTTGTCTCCTATTAATAATGATCACACTCACCAGATATCTCTTTGAGAGCTAATCTCACGAACAGTAAATCTATCTCGATGCCGTCAAAGATTATCTTGATGACCGGCACGAGCTCGCTTTGACAGGCTAATGATAATATTTTTGGTAAATTTATTCACTAGGTGTATGTACCCGTGTCTGCTGTTTGACGAGAGCGTAGAAGGAAGTGAAGAAGTCTATCCGCTGTATGTGGCGCGGGACTGCACACAACACATGCAGGTATTTTTGAATTCGTGTAACAATTTATTGGTCTAAGTGGTGTGAATCAATGAATAGACTTTTTACTGTAGCAAACCAATGGTTGAATGTATATTTTCTGACATCTGGTGACCAACAATTGAACTATAATAACTGTCTGCTTATTAATCATAGCCCCAAAGGCAAACTAATACCAAAAACCATTGCAAGATGTCGGCACAAGTCATGTTTTTAAATGTAAAAACGAAGTGTATATTAAAGATACATTATTGTGTTACATATGCATTAACAGATAAGAATTCGACTGCGCTGGCTTTTCCGAAAAATTATATAGCATTATGAAATTAAATACTAAGAAATATTGGAAATGTTAACATTGTATACATAAATCTACAGATTCTACTTCAATAATTGATGTATTTACATCAATTAAGACATCTAACTCACAAATATCGGGTCCAGTCGTCACATCTAAAAACAAAGGATGCAACATAAACAGTGGCATAGTACAAAACAGATAGGTAAATAATTCTAAGGAAAATTCAGTCGAAGAATCGACTGAATTTGACAATAAAGCTGTCATCTCAACTCATAATAATAATATTGTCAGAAATAACACTATACTCAATAACAAAATAACTTCTTTACCAAAAATTCTTTCAATATAACATCTCATTGCTTACATGATGTGAAAACCGGAGAGAATCTCATCGTTCAGGATTTAAAAGATGAAATTGAAAAACTACGATTAGATTTGGACACACCGAAATTGATAACTTAAATTAAACGAATAGAGAGTTGTCTAAAAAATTTATGACCAAGAAAAAAATATAAAATTATAAGTATAAATAGAACACCATCTCCATCTACACCAAAATAAATGTACAATAGTAAAACTAAGAATCAATCGATAAAAAAAGGAAGAATAACAATTTGCTAGATACTTAGACATCATTCCCACTAATGACTCAAAGTTATCCAGTGGGTACATCAGCAATGCAAGGAGAAGCGTACGTTCAATGCGGTAGCTCTGAGGTTCCCAAACATTTTTTTCTCGTAGATCATTTTAAAACAATGTACTGGTTTTGGTGGACCCCCTGCTGCTATATTTTTACCATAATCCCAAAATCCGTCCAAAATGTGAAGATCTAACGATGGAAATTGGCGTTGCGGGTTGGTTTCAATCCTAAATTCGGAGTGGTTTCATCAAATGGATTTATGATCCATGGTGGTATTTCCACCATCAAAATATCTTCAAATCTGTTTTTGGAGTCATCATGCAGCGCATTTAAATGTTGAACGTATGTCTAAATATCTTCATCGGACATGTATATGACAAGTTTGGAAACCGTGAGAATCTCAATTTTCCAGGAAAAGCCGAAATTACACTCTTTGTTTTTATTAAATTTAGGCTATCCCCTTGTAACTGCAAGTTAATGTCAGTAAATTTTTTGAACAAATCTCTCAAAAAACGCGACGTCTGCTTTCCATTTGATCAAGTTTTCTTTGAAATCTGGATCTTTACTTTCCATCAACTCTAAAACTGATTCAAAAAGTAAGTAAAACCTTGTTAAACACGCACGTTTGGTTTTTTTTCCTGCATATGATATATAGGTAAAGCCAAGCCAACATTATTGTTCTTTACAATCGAAACCAGATATTTGTAATATTAGATAAATAATAAACTTTCGTGGACCCCACTTTAAACTTGTGAACCCCTATTTTTATTTCACGCCAACGTAGACCCCCGTTGAATCACTCGTGGACCCCTGGGGGCCATCTGGACCACTTAGGGAATCACTGGCGTAGCTCATCAGATTAACAATGTACATCAAGTTTCACAAGATGGCGCTACGTCCAATACTGTAACTGCGACGGTGACATCGATAATACTTAAACAACAGATATGTATAAAAGGCGACGAAGGGGCAGGGTGTTTATTTTGTAAAATATTATTATAGTTATTTCAATTTATTAAATAAATATCTAGCAGGCATCTGTGGCGACTGATACGTAGCGACATCTAATTCATCGCACTAACATCGCCACAACAACCGATAGCGGTAAGACTAGCATCATCACAGCAAGCGACAGCAAGACGAACTGAAAGAAGTTTCAACATCTAGTAACGAGATGGCGCTATACCTATTCAAACATTATAAATTAAGATACTTCAAGGCATTAAAGAACAAAGAAACCTACATCGCCCACAATAAGTTACATTACCAATTAGCATAAATAGAACGTCCAACCTGCATCGGTTGGACCACGGTCCCCGAGCTAACTACACCTAGCTCGGAGAGAGACGATTATCGTTTAGTCTCCCTTGCCAATTGTCTCCATCATTCAGTAGAGGGGCCACACACCTTCAATTGTACGGTTCCTACAGGTCTACATTGTAATATTGAAGTGTGAAAGCTCATGATTTGCCCACAATTTGATGACGCGTAGAGGAAGATGGAAGTTGTTGATGTTAGGCACCAGCCGTAATACCTCATTTGTGTAACGGCAACCGTTAATGGAAAGAACGCACCACTGGTTCAAGTTCTTCAGCAGCATATTGTCATTAAGGGCCAGTGAATCTGGACCTAGATATAATAAAAAAATCGCGAAGATGGTTTTAAATTACCAACAACGTGGAATCCAGTGATAAACTTTTTGAGGTTGCCGGATCACCAGAATACGGCTGCGCTACAAAATAGGGATTCCGTTAGTGTTGTATGTGACGGTACCTGGAGAAAAAACTGGACCGTAGAAGTGGATTCCAAAGAGTCAGCCCGTGACCACGACCGGTGTAACCTGGTTGAAACGACGAGAAATATAGGTAGATGAAAAACCTAACTACGAAACCTATTGCATTAATTCCCGTCTTATTCAATCTAATATTACAATTATATTATTTGTCTCCTATTTATAGTGATCACACTCACCAGGTATCTCTTTGAGAGCTAATAATTACTGTTGACAGGCTAATGATAATATTTTTGGTTAATTAATTCACCAGGTGTACGTACCTGTGGCTGCTGTTTGAGCGTAGAAGGAAGTAAAAAATCTGACCGCTGTATGTACCGCGGGGCGACACACGATGCATCGATATCTGCACCTCTCTGGTCGAGTATGTCTGTACGAGCCGTACGTGTATAATTTCCCGCCGACTGTGTCCACTACGCTTGCAAGTATGTTCTTGCGTAACGAATCATCGCAGATCCACTGACGGACCAGCCGATGCACTGAGCCGAGCACCTTCATGTGGTGCTGCACCTCCGCCTCTGGCTCGAACGCATCGAATGGGACGAGGCAGTTTTCAGCATCTTCGTTCTCTCTGTATCGAGTGGTGTAGGACCTTTATGGAAGTAGAAAGGTGTTATAAAATGTTCGGAATTATAATAATAATAATACGTTTATTTCTCTCTTGAAAAAGTAAGGGCACATACATATTACATATACTACTAGTAGTGTGGGATTTACACACATTTACAGTTTTCACGAGACTGGTGTCTGTAATAATCTTTCACATGACTCACTGATTATAAAAGTACTAACTAATATTTATGACTCAACCACAATAATGAATTTCACGACATATTGAATGTTGTTTTGAACTGTTCGTTTAACCTTACAAAGATATAGCGAAGGTCATGCCCAGCGTCTTGTCAGGGTTTTGGCAATGGCATGGTTTTTGTAAATGTCATTACTCCTATTAGAGCTGGTGAGTTTCTTGCTCGTTCTTCTTATCAGCCAAAAGACGTCCTGAACAAGCGGTAGGGAAAAAAATGTTGGACGATTCAAAAGTACTTTTAAGAAGTCTATTTGAATAAAGATTATTTTGACTTTGACTTGACTTTTGTTGGAACTGTTGCTTATTCTGGTTAATTTCGAACAGGGCGAGGTGTTTCTTCGCGATGTTGATCGTTGTAGGAGCTTGTTGATAGGTCATGCCCAGTGTCTTGAGGCTCTGTTGGTTGTGGTGGCCATTCTCTTTGCTGGTGTGCACGCGGGCATGAGTGGGAATAATTTGAAGACCACATCTTAGTCACAGGAACTGTAGGGAGTCTGAAACAAAAACCGTTAATTGACATTTGTACATTTATTTCCTCTTTTTTTAAAAAGCCACTTCTTTAAAATACATATACAGGCAAATAAAAGTTGCATCTTTCTAATTTTATACATTATTTAACGAGAAAAGAGATAATCTCATTATTTAATAATATTAAATTTTATATAATAATATTAAATTAATAAAATTAAATAATGACTACCGAACTTTATTTATTAAAGGTTTTATGAAAACTCTGGTTAACAAATCTTTACTGAACTAAGCAACCTCAACACTCCCATTCGTTTCAAATTATAAATTACTTGCTATTCCTGGAATTGTCTTACATTTATGCAATGGGAATCTATGGGTATAAACTAGAACGCCACAAAGATTTATAAAAATATGAAAATATACCCTTAATGAATTTGTCTTTATTTAAATTTCTCATAATACTAAGTATCGATAATTTATTTTTCTAAAAGTCGTTTTGTTGCTTAATAGCAAATTAAAATTATGAATTAATTAAATAGTTTACATATTTTGTACAGACATTTAAAGTTAAAATGTAATAGAGAACCGTGGCAAGTTTATATGTACGGTCTTTAACTACTTGTGTTGACACAGCAGCATATCCTATCGTATTTTTAATATGTACGAGTATTTAGGAATTCATTTGTTTAATGGTTTTTTCTGTCTATTTTGGTAGTTAATAATGAACATTAAAGTTTGATTGTCGGTAATAGTATTACCAGAAAAAATACATATCTATTTATTTTAGTTTACTGTCTACATACGTATTAGAGCTAAAAATTTCGGAATACTAACTCGATTATTATAAACCTCCTCGAACCGGTTCTCGGTATTAAAATTACGTGTACATTTATTGACGTCCTATCTATGGTACTCTTGTAACAGTTTACTAAATAAACTGTCTCCCTTTTGCATGTTTAGCTGATGTGCTTAATTCCTTTTAACGTGTTGATGCAAATTAATTTAAAGAAAATTATCAATAAAAATAATTGTAGGTACATTGGTAACAATTGTACTATGGAGGTAGGTAGACATGGAAGCGCAGCGCGGCTTATAAAGGTGAAATAGTATATAACGACCTCTAGAGCAGCAATAGTTCATTTTTAAATGAGTTGAAATATTTTTAAGTTTGTGTTACACAACCCCAACATCGGGTGAGTGTTCTAATTTCTTTAGTTTTTACTGCTTGCTTACAAGTTGTTACCTTGAAGTAATTTATTTTTGAAATCACAAGTCCAATTAATAACTTTGAATTCTCAAACTATTTCGTTGCTTTATAATATTTAACGTTTTCATTTAACATTATTTCTGAAGTGAAAATCTAGTTCTTTACCTAATGTTCGATTATATTTTTATTATATTTCAATAAAGGTGAAATAAATATTACGGAAATATCATAAAATTTTTGCTATATGTAAAGTAATACCATTAATAAAATTTGATATAAATAATATATTGAAACAAAACGCAGTTCTGAGACTACGCAAAATTAACATTTTATTATTTTTCTACCTTACAGATTTGATATTTAATTTTGTCTGCTAAAAATTAAATATAATTGATAGGTACATTGTCCGAATGCTAGTTAGTTTAGTTTCATTTCGTGATTTTATTTTTAGGTCCCCTCTGGCGCCTCGGTGATGCCCACGCAGCTGTAGTGGTACCACTGATACGTGCAGTGGTCACCATCACACCCGATCATGTAGGCACCAGGGACCTCCTTGCCGCAGGAACATTAGATGCTTTCCCGCTGTTCCGGGACAGGCCCAGAGCTGGAGGCGACACTCCCCGCATCGGCCGCGGGTTCGTCACCGTACGCGAGGTCGTCGTACGGGAGAACGTTGCAGATGTGGAGTGCGTACTCCCACCTCCGCACTGGGCATCTGCTGCAAGTCCGGCTCTCTGTCCCGTGACGCCAGTACAGGTGGCACACCAGGTGCCGATACTGCTTGAACTCGATGGAACAAGCGCTGCACTCGTACTTCCTCAACTCTGCCACGTCCACGCCGGCGGTCCTCATCGTAATTATGCGCAGAATGATCACCACCAACGTGAATGTGACTGAGTGTGCGGCTTCCACGTCGTCCGAGCTGTACTGATTTGAAAAAAGGACGCTTTTGAATTTCTACCTGTGTCAACGGTCACGGAAGGGTCGAGAAGGGGTACTTTGTGTACCGCTATCGACGAATGTCAATAGGTTTCTCCTAATTAGTTGTCTATTTCTATGACACCCGTATGGTGATATTGTTTAAGACGCGTCCATTGTATCGAGTGCGTGAAACAATTGTCGCATGAAGCTCCAGGTAGGAACGACCGGTAAGCTCATTTGTTGAAAGACTGCAAACAATTATTTTATAAGAATAATAACACATGGTGATATTATACTACGTGGTGGGTTTTTTCCGTAGAATTTTTTTTGCACTGATGTGAAACTTGTACCCGTTTCAGATATCTTTTTTATAACTTAGAAAAGGTCTATTTCGATCGTTCAGGTTAAAAACTTTATTAACTAGAATCAAAACTGACTGACTGTGGAAAGGAAATACTAATAAAAATATTTTATGATATGCAGGTAGTCTAGAAATTCATATGTTTGTGATTATCATTCAATTTGGTAATTATTATTTCTTTTATTTCCCTCTCTTAAGTGAACAAAATCTCATAAATAATTCTTTAAAGTGGTCTTTTGTTTCAATATTGTAACGGTGTGCCGTACCACCGTTTATTTTCCTAGGTTTCAACATGCCAACTTTATGTCTTTGAAATTCAACATCATTTCTTTTTATTATTCAACCTCTGTAATTTAAAATTTTGACTAATCAAATATACTCTTTATGGATGTCAGTTCGTAAAAAATCATCTGTGAATAACATCTAGATATTATCATTGTGATCATCGCCATCTTTTATTCATTCCATTTTCATTTTACATGTAAAAATTAATTTATTTACTTACATTGGTAGAATTGTACGAAATGCGCAGATAAGTCATTAATTATAAAAGAAGAAGAATAACATCTAAATCAACATATTATCGTATAAATTTTAATATAATGTTGATGATTTTAATGTTGACAACGATTAAGAATGAGACATTCTGATACAAATTATCACTATGTTATATAGTGAATTGTAATCTTTATTTGGTAATTGTTAATTTTATATTTAGGTAAGGTACGAACTGTTTTTATATTCATTTTTTGTTTGTTACAGTTTCTTTATTTTACCCTTTGTACAATTAATAAATCCATACTCAAGCTAGTCAGTCTTATTAATTGACCCAAGCACCACCGAACCCAATATTTACCTGTTATTTATACAGTTCAAGCAATAAAACACAATACAATAGGAAAATTATCATGAAACACTTAAAATAAAGAATGATAAAGATCTTGAAGCTAAAAACATTAAAATTCATGTAAAAGAAAATTTTAAATTCGCTTGAGTGATCTTTATCATAAATTAAACCTTTATCATAAATGTTCTAATACATAATATTTGAATTTTATTCTAATAATATCACCTTAGTAACTATGTTGTACAAATATGGTCCTCCAATCGTTAAGGTAATAGTACCTAATACATTCCAAACTGATTTCTCATCAAAATATCCTCACTTAAGCAATTAGGATACGACGACGTTGTTTTTAAGAATTCAATAAAAGTTTTGTTTTATTTGACAGTCTTTATTTGACAGAACGCTTCAAATTATTTTACAATATTATAAAAAAAACACTAATCCGATTTCAGATTCATATGGAACAACTTCGGACCCTGTTACCTGTGTAATATACTGTTTACCATAAGGGATTTTGAAAATTGTTTTATAATATGTGGATATACTCGCCGAACATAGAATCGCCTTCTTAGATTGGAATATCTGCTAGACCCATCTGTCACGGTTTCATTGATTTCCTTTAAAATTCGTTGGTGAACAAACATTTAAAAATTATAACAAGAAATGGCTATTATTGTTCATTAAATTCATAATGTTAGTTATTTTAATGACATTAATTAGGTATTTCTTTCTGATTGGTGTAATGTGTTGTAATAAATAAACAAACAACAATATATGATTGAAATTAGAAAGACCTAATTAACGATGGATAGTCTGTTACCTTCGTATGATGAGCTTTGTGCTTTGTACTTTGTAACGTAGTCTCAGTAGATCAAACATGCACGAAGAGCCAATCAGCTGTCGATTGGCGGCCATATTGACAATATGGCGGAGGAGCGGCATTGTTTACTCATTCTCTTGTAGTGGGAGGAGCGTGCGCTCAAGTCCACTATGAACGCGCTCCAAGCACCGAGGCAGCTCTTGAATATTTTATAAGGATTAGATTTAAGGTGAAGAGTATTTTTAAAAGTAAACAATTAATAAGTTTATACATATGTGATCAAATTATATAGTGTTCTTTACAAAAACTTTGATTTGATTTATGTAGGGGTAAACTACATTAAAATGATAATTGATAATAATATTGATAGATAACTGATAATACGATAATATAGATGATAGACGAAATGGTTAAAAATGATAACAATCGATTCAGCCGAATGCGTAACGAGCACTGATTTTATTGTATTATTAACAAAATTACAATAGCTGACGCAATTAATATAAAATGAGTACGATGACTCGTACAATTTATACAATGGAAACACTATTGTAATAACTACATAATCGGCCAAGTTTTGCAGGTAAAAGCAAGGCTAGTGAATCCTGCAATTCTGCAATTCGAAAGCACATACGTTCATTATTAAAATAAGTATCGATTTATATTCTGTAGTTTTAAATAAAAATAGTAAAATATTATATCGCACACCTAGATCTAAACAAATTAATAATGAAACAAACAATAATGAAACAAACAACTCAAAAATTTGAGCGAGTTTTGACTTAGTACAATATTCAAATACTCGGTGATCATACGCATCTATTCAACATAACAGATTCAATAAAGGTTCGGGGATGAGCCGCTAGATAACTTTAGCTCTTTTTTTGTTGAATCAACAGTGGTCGCGCTCCTGCCACGTAAACAAATCTATTGTCAGACCTCCAAATTAGTTTTTTGAGTTGTCTTAGTTTAGATCTAGGTGTGCGATATATTCTTGTACACAAATTCTGGCAACGTAATTTTACTAGTTCATTTCACACATTTTAATGATTGGGCCAACAATTTACAAATAGTGTCGACTGAAATTAGTCATTAATTCTGTTATATTAGGGTAAATAGACAGTCATTGAACACTGAATAGTTATTGGACAGTCGCGTTTTATTTGCTAAAAATAAGACA